TAAATGGGGCACGAAAATAGCAACGAATTCAATAGCAGCAATTGAATTCGTTGGGGGGAACTCGTATGTATTCGTGTTGTTGTTCACGTTCCTAGAGGCTGCATTATTCTCGCAAATACTTCTTGAAATATTCGTGAGTAATTTAGGATTCGTTTAGCTGTAGCCCCCTTTCGGTGCCGAATCACCATGCCACCTGAAGGAAGCACGAGGGCTGGGATACTGCCGGGTTGCCCAAGCCTAGACAGGGCAAGTCGAGAGGCAGAGGTGGGGTTCGAACCGTGGATTTTCCGGTCAGTAAATTCGCGCTCTAACTACTGAACTTCTCGCCAATTACGAGAAACGATCAGCCCAGTTACTCCATCACAGCGAATCTGGACGCGCCAACCGTTGGCTGTTTATGAGGGCGAATTGATGGGGAACGCGAACAGGAGCAGATGAAGATTAGATAGCTTGTGGGTCAAACCTGTGATTGCCATGTGGGCGTGTCCGACCATACATTTTCCTCTACACCATAGTTGACTGGATTTTTCCCTGTTATGAGCTATAGTTTTACGTCTTCACCAGGGGCAGTGAATTTGAAAAGCCGGGTCACATCTGGTGGGGTTTCTGGTAGGTGAACGTGGTTTGCTTTTGACAGATACGCAAGGATGATTGTAGAGAACCAGTTGTTCAACACTAGAATGGGAATATCCTGGGACCAGACAGTTCAAATCAGTCGTCGCGATGGTTCCCGGATGGTCCGCTAACTATCTTTCATCCTTATTCATGGCTCCAAGTTCGTTGTTACTTGTGATCACGGCGACATCACTTCGATATAATTTAGACCACGTGAGGTTTGGATCGTCGGTGACGCTGAGCGGTGAGCCCAACAATAGACTCATCATATTGGGTGGTTGAGATCGATTGTTTTGCTCGGCGGTGATGATGGTGACTCCATTCAATAGCTTCCCGATTCCGTTTGGCACTTTGCAGGTGGCACTATCGCACAAAAGACCAGTAGTACACGGGAGGCTGCTCTAAGCAGCAGAAAAAGTCAGCATGAAGCAGCATATGCGTTTGGGACGAAAAGGAATATACATCCTGTGGAATCATGCATGGCTAATTTCCATCTGTGTAAAGATTCTGTTTGTCAATACGTGCATCTCCTACCTCTTGTTGTCGTCCACCAGGAAATCTTGTCGTGCCATTCGGCAGTTACCCCGCTTTGTTAATTGCCTCGAGCTCAAAATTTCTTTGCTTGCTCCACGCACTAGCCTCACGCATCGCTGAAAGCTCGGTTATCTCATTGTTTTTCCTCTAAACGCAGTGGATTCACATCGTATACGCACACGCAAATTTTGACCATATGCTATTTTTAGCCCAGCCTTGCTACCCTCGTGGCCTGTTTTCCATCCTCACATCCACACGCAGGCACGCACTCACGCATCTGAATGCACAATCATCCTGCGCACACACACGCATGCAGACACTCGTTCACTGGGTGCATGCTGCTAGGATCGTACGCGCATTTGTTCGTCCGTGCCCTGCCTAACCCAAACATGCACGTACACAAATACATACATTATGCAAACAATCGGGCTAATGACATCTTTTCACTCGCCGGCTGACGACATATTCCATCATTACCCCTACCTCCCGCTGGACCATACCCTAGTAATCAGGCATAGATGCTTCATCGACCAGTGTCCGTTAATCAGCGGCAGCAGTAGTGGCAGCAGCAGCGCCTGCACCATCACCACCACCACCAGGACTCTACTATACCTACGAACACGGAGGTCGATCATACATTGATTATCTGCCGAGATTTTCCTGCAGGGCCTTATTGGAAACTGATGTAGTTGTTCTGTTTGCACGGATCTTTTAAAATTTTGGCTGAATGATCGACTTTTGTGTTGTGACCAAACAGACTAATAGTTACCTGAAAAAGACGATATTAGGACACCAGTAGCAATGAGGTCCTTGCGAACGTGCTCTGCGTTGGTGACGCCACACAGCGCAGTGTATGCGTACATTCTGGGAGTGGTAACGGAGGTTCTTGTCCGCTCAGTTATCATTTTAACTTTGGTACAGTATCTTAAATAAAACAATAACACTTTGTTAAGAAATAAATACATGTATTTCGTGTGCGTTGCTTGGTTTTCGGTTTGTTCATCTTGGTGGATGACTGAGAAAGTTTGTTTGGATTTCACATTTTTCACATTCTCCACATTGGTCGGCGTGGTCCCGCGTTTGCTTCATCGAAGCTCCACCTCCCCAAGAACGCACCCATGAAGGGCGAATCCGGTCGGGATGACCTGATCAAATTTTTGTCGTGCACCACGCGAGAGCTGTAATTTTGAACCTCGTAGGCTGAGCACGAATGAGCTAGCAATGGCCTCTGGTCTCGATAGTGCGTGTCCTTGGAAGGAACTACAGTATACGAAAAATTCCTTACCCTGCTCAAATGTGTATTATAATCCATCTTGACAGTGTGTGGGACTTGGGATGGACTATTGTGAAATCCTGAGTATGCTTCGACGCGTATACATGGGGATCCTAATAGCCTATGCACGGTACACTATATATGGGTAAGAATACTGTCTCTCCATTTCGTAACCCACAGCACCGAAATATTCTAACTGGATACTGTACCCAATTAATTACTCGTCTTTACTTGACTGCTGCTGATTCTTGCTTAAGAATAACGCAGTTCAAAAATATCACGTGCTTCCCCTACCCGTTTTGAATGGGGGGCGCTGTGGTTAAGTCGTAGGCTGATCCAATGATCGACGTTCACTTGCAGAGTCCTCGAGGAATGACTGCCGCCCCACACAGAACTGTCGTCCACATAGCTTAGGGTGCCACATTCCTGCAGGACTTGTCAATATCTTTTGTATGCCTACGAATCCAGGTAGCTGCCATATTAGCTACAATTTCATACAAGCTACTACTGCAAACAAGACGGCCTTGCTTATTTACCGCTCCCTTGTTCAGACCACCTTGAAAGAAGGGCGCCTTTAGACGTGTTGACAAGTCAGAGTATGACGAATCGTGGGGACAGTTCATTTTAACCACAACCAGGTGGTCAAGTCTGACGGTACCCAATGCATTTCACCTGAATCTACGAACTGGTATATTTTGTTTATTCTGAAATGATGAGGAGCGCGGAGCAAGGCGGACTTACAGCCTAATCAAAGCGGTATTCAGAAAGCCGTATTTGATTTTATGAGCATGGTCAGTTGTCAAGTGTCTTTCTCGTACCTGTTCGAATTGCTGCCGATTCAAAGTAACATTATCTATTCGGCTAGGGGCCCGATAAAGTATGAATGTTAAAGGGAAACCCTCCATCTAAATGGCTTGTAACTCTACGTGGTATATAAATATAAATATATACGTCTCTCCTGATTTCCTTTCAACCTAGAATGTTCAAATTTCCGGTACTTCTTTTCCAATCCAGTTGAGTTCATGATCTGTTCTGATTCAGTGTGCATATAGCCCCAAAAACATCATGTTGAGTATTGAAACGGTACGAAACGCTATCGAATTCGGTTCAAATTAGGTGTGGAAATCACCATGTTCTAATAGGTTTTGTCCTCACAGCATTTGTGATTTTTTTATTTATTCCATCCATGGCATCCAAGAGTCCATATCAAGGAGGTACAAACTTTTTCATTATGCCCTACACATCTTTAAATCAGGTATATGTCCTTACTTGTGTTTAGGACAGTATGACAGTCCGATGACCTGAAGGGAAATAATGGTTTTATGGACTAGACAGTTTGAGTGTTCCTATGTACTTCTATGTTTTTTCCTACTTGTTCATAAAAGAGTGGAAACGTGATATGGGAATCAACAGTGACTTTTCCATATCTGATTTAGCCACGTGCTGTGTAACTGTTGCAGCATCTCAAACCGTGAAAGACTTAAGCTACTGTGAAGTTGTTATTTTTTCACTCCATGATGGCAGCAACCGAGGTCATCCGGACTGTCCACGTCGAACTTTTCATAAAAACCGCCACTTTGTTTCTTCCACTCGTGATTTTGCACTCTTCGCCTTACGCATTCCAATCGGCCCAGCGGGCCTCCTGATTTTCATGTATTTAGAGGCACCAGTTGGACATACCTGACCCTCGGATGCTAATTACGGAACCTGTTTGATATTCGAAGCAGTTACTATGTGGTTGCGTACATACCTGAGCAGTTTCCGCTGTGTATTACCATAGAGATTTTGCTGCAGGCTTTTGATTTTCTCGAAATACAGACTGGCGTGGAAATTATTTACTAAGGTTTTTGACCGATTAATCTTCATTACATTGCTTCCATCCTTGGTAGGGGATCCGAGTAGCCACGTCAATTTCCTGATTCATTGATTCACATGAGGGCTCGCCTGCCATTCACCAATCGACCACCACGAGAACACAATTCAACAGTGAATGCGAATAAAGACCATGTACACTAAATTTGTAACATGGGGCATCATCGGTTGGGTGTGAGAGTATGTAGAGTGCGGCTCAGGCACAGTTGCCGATTTGTTCAGTCAGGTGGCATCGGTGGTTTCGCTCACTTCCTTAGCACATGGCATGATCCACTAGGGGTTCCTTGTACACCAAACCATAATTGGTCTTACATCCATTGAATGAATGCATTGAGTTATATTTTTAGTGTCGAAAAAGCTGGTATTCTTGATGACGTTTCGCACACTGATATTTCGTCATAGTGTTCCATACATGTCGCGTGTCCACTTCGTGTGCCACTGATCTACATCACGATTTGTTTTTCCTAAACTTTGTTGTCTTTTTGGGCACGGGTTTCCATTTCCATCTCTGTGGTCAGTAGAGTCGTACTCTATTAACCCAGTCGGTGCGATCCAGTCTGCTTCAAAACTCCTGACTGCACTCATGGTAGTGGCCATTCAAGTTTCACCCTATACCTGTTAGCTAATCAGGTGTTCTGTGTACTGTTCTGTGAACTTCTCCATTGTTTTATTCCCCACACGACTAACCACAGGATTTTCGCCATAAATGTTTTCTGCACCCTACCAGCTTTGGGACATACGAGATGGACAATGCAAACAAACCTTCCCAGGACACGAGTCCGATATCAATGCAATCACCTTCTTTCCCAGTGGACTGGCTTTCGCTACCGGAAGTGACGATGCCACGTGTAGACTGTTCGATATCCGTGCAGATCAGGAAATCGGAATGTTTAGCCATGACAATATCATCTGCGGTATCACGAGTGTTGCATTTAGTAAAAGTGGACGTCTCTTACTTGGTGGTTATGACGACTTCAATTGCAACATATGGGACACATTGAAACAGGAACGTGCTGGTACGTTATTTCAACCCAGCCCTCATCTCGTATGCTTGCTCCTTGTTACCTATCCGTTTTGAGAGGAATTTTTCCTATTTTCGTAGCGTCTTATGTTGGTACTTTCCAGAACATCGAGGCCAAGTGATAGTCAAAATATCAAAATTAGGGAGCTATGCGGTTGAAGTGACTTCAGTGAGTCGGTTAATGGCAGGGTACAGTGTTTCTTAAGAGTTATGAAGCTAAGAATATTGCTTGTGTTTGACTACCGCCGCCCTCGAAGCATTGCGCATGGGCATGCCGGAGTAGCAGTAGTGAAACGTGGTGAATGGTTCTTAATAACTAATTAACTGATTGTTCGATTGCTTACTGAATTTGGCTGGCTCGGCCATATGCTGGATAATCGGTTGCATGTAGTGTCCCGCTTGCCTAACGCCCGAATACTGGGAAGAAAGATATCGATGTGACACCTAGTTAATTTTTTAAAAATTATTTTATAAAGGTCGAATATCTTATTTCTCGCTGGAAATTGGCATAGCACTTCCTCGTGAACTCTAGAGGAGGCAAAATTCTCACCGTAAAATTTTCGTCGTGAAGCATAAAAAACAACAACTACCACTTAGAGTATAGGAAGAGTATAGCTACGAAGCCGTTGCAGTGTGAGCAAACTGTTTGGGTTCTCCTGCCCTTACTCACCGTCAGACAGCCCATCAGAAGGGGATCTAGAAATATCAGTCGAGATTTTGTCTAATAGGTAATATCACGGTGTGCTAGTATTGTGGGCCTAGGATCGCAAAGTGAGAATACCACATAACCTTCATTACATAATTTATTTTGTCTAAACCGCCATAGGTCTTTTGAACAGCCTAATGGCGTAAAACTGGTGACTACATCCGTTTAATGGTGTGCTACCTGGATTGTCGCATTTGGTGGCGATGTCAGTTTGAATTTCGTTGTTGGTAAAGGCTGAAGTTTGGAACAAGAACCCGTGGTCAACCCAAAGCAGTTCAAGCAATTGTTTCACAGGTTCATCAGAAATTACCGTCTGTTTGCAGTGCTGTTCTGTTTAGCAGTCCAAGGCTTCCGAATCAATCATGGTTCTATGCCGGCGATGCATCAGTGTTGAACACTGATGTTTTGCTGTCGATGATGACGGGATAAAGAACCGTGGCACCGGTCGCCTCCTGACTTTGGCATTCACTGTTTTACCTTGATGTGATGTTTTGATTCAGCAGTCATTCGAATTGATTTTCGAGTTCGTCGCTATGGCAACCCATGTAGTCGATAAATCCTTTGTGCTGTTCCTCCCACCCATGACGCAGAAATCGATAGCTATTCCATTGACTTCAGCAATGAGGGGATCGCCCTAGTACGTGGAACAGATGTGCCATTTGTGCACGGGTGTTTTCGGGTGCGTGCGCTTGCGTACACGCTGCGGCCCACGTCAGTTTAAAGCATGTGCGTCGTATCGGCTTGTTTGTATTGGTCGATCGGCGCGTTGATGTGCGCTTTTACCGGCGACCTTTGTTACAAATGCCCACTTCCGTAAACGTATTGGTGCAATAGTTTGCATATGGAGAAGACCGTTTCTAGTTGCACAGATTGATGTGACTTCTGGCGCGTGCGCATATACAGAAGGGAAGTGGTTGTTTTTATTTTGACCGACTGTGCTAGATGGTGATGGGTACTATAAATTTGTACGGTACGCAGGCCTCGACAAAAACGGCCCGTATTCCCTGATTCGACTCATTTTTGCGTTTGAACTTAGTGAATTGTGGAGGCTTTCCTCATGGGGTTTTGAAAATCTAAACAAACATGACCAACGATTGATGTATCCCTTTGAATAAATAACTGAGTTCGACTGATATTCAAAAGCGAAATGCGCTGCACTGCTGGTTCATGCACGTTGAGTATTAACAGCGAGGTGGCTCAGGGTCGACTTTACTCAGAGACCAGATGACCCAGTGATTAGAGCGCGAATTTACTGGCCGAAAGGTTCGTGCCTATCGACTTTCTCTGTCAAAGGCTTGAGAAACCTGGCGGTATACTAGCCGTCGTACTTCCTTTTAGTGGCACCGAAAAAGTGCTACAGCTGAACGATTTATCCATTTATTTTTTTGTACTGCCAACGGTGCCGAGAAAGGGAAGCAGACCACAGTGCATACGGGCATGTGTAACACGTGATTCGTAGTTTTCAGGACGGGTCTTCGTGTTTTACTGCACCACCTGAGCACCTTCGTACGTCAGTAGACTAGCTGATACTGTTGTGATGTCCAGCATCACACCAGGCTTCTCTTTTGGCATGATCATTAGGCTGTTGATCAATCCACAGGTTCGCTTTCTGACTGGTTTTCCTCTATCTGAGTAAGGGCATACTGGAGATGACTGGGTTCCCGTTGAAGGCCCCGTCTATGGAGGGTTTTTTCGAAAACCTTTTTGTGGTGGGAAAATTTTTTCACATTCTTATTGTGTTTACTTCGTGTCTTTTTTCAAATTTGCCTTTGGAAGATATTTATTATCAACATTCACTTGACTTTTGATAGTCCGCCAAGTTGTGGTGTTGTCGCAGTTGACAAGTCTGTACATCCGAGACCTTCGTGTGTCCGTGATTCAGAGTCTCAGTAAACCTGGCATCATACGTAGGCGGAATTCCAGACACCACATGTGGTCGCATTTCTCACATATCTAACATTTGATGCTGGGACTGGGCAAAGGTGTTGGTGGGTGGGATTTCGAGTAATTGGCTTTATGAGGGCCTTGTGAGGCCTAAAATTCAAAAGCCGACAGTTGGGTGATCCGTATCCTTGTCCTATCAAAGGTTTTGATCTGCCGGTGAGTACGATATGCCGAAATTGCATCTCGGTTGGAACGCCGTAACGCGATATTGTTCACTAGGTCATTGACTAGCTCAGTTCATTGTACAACGATGATATTCAGTCTCTGCAACAAAGAGCTCTTACTATTAGACACACTGCATGGAGTTAGGTAGGCTTTACTTTTTCGTGCAACAGATGCTTCTGCGTGACGTCGACCGTTATGAACCAGAGAACATGCAGTGCTTCATTGGATGAATCACATCATTGAGGCTGTCTATTCGAGCGTTATGAATTTTGGGCGGAATTTCATCTTCGTCGCTGATCCCTCAGTTAAGTTCTCGGTCTGAACCTTCCAAGCTGCCGTTTTCGTCGAAAGAACCACCAAGGGTGCACAACGTGTATTAAACCTCCAAAACCAGGTCAAAAACACATGTACAAAACGTATAACAACTACGACTTATGTAGAATGTATGTGGCCACAACATTATATAAACCCGGCGAATTCTGGTGAATCATTGGCAGCTAGATGTTGAAGGTTCATCCGAGAAGTTTTCGGAGGTAATTTTAACTGTCTCAACTGTTTTACGCATATTTCGATGTCCTATCTCCATTTAAGCGGCATGTCATTAAGTTGATAGATTCACGGAGCGATCTGTGGGACGTGTTCCTATCCGCAAAGCATCGTACTACCGGACGGCCGCTGAACACGTTCATTTTATTATTTTACGGAAAGGGGTAATCTAGGGCAACGTTCCTATCCTTCTGCTCCATCAATAAAGTTGGAAAAAACAAAGGTGACTTACTGACTCCATCGACTTCGGGGTGCCAAAACACTAAAAGACGTGACTAGCGTGCACTGTACAATTCAGTTATTGCCAAGAGTACATATGGACGTATGTTCGGGCGTTGCCGGGGCACATGGACAATTTGAGGAAACTGTTAATTGGTCAAACTGGTGTAACGGTCGACCTGAACGTGATAAGTGTCTAACCGCACCCACGAACAGTAGCATGTGCTGGGTCATTGGGGTGGAGAACTGCATCATTTCAGCCCATATAGAAATGGTCAATGTCACCTTAATAGAGGTGTGAAAGTCGATCAGTTTTCTATATGAACAGATAAGTCATTAGAGTGCTGAGTGATTCAGGGCTCGCTTTTCTTCTTTTATTTACCTAAGGGTCATTCGGAGATTCATAGGATAGTAATCTCGTGATGACTTTGCTACTTCGCCTTCGCCACACATTAGTCACCGGTGGCAGGCTTGAACCAAATTAAGCAACGTTTTTGATGGGATAATACCCCCAGAGTATGTGATGAAGTTCGTCTGCATTCCTGGTATTAGTATACTTCCTGCCTCCCTGGCTTTCAATACATTGTCGCATTGGTTTGCAGTTGCGTTACTCGGACCCATCGGTGTATCCGCACCGTTATTTTGCGGTAAACAATTGCGTTGGAAACCAAATGACTCCATGTCTACCTACTAGCATTATTCTGATTTCTCATTTGTCAATGCGGTCACCCCCAGGCATCATTGTTTTAGCCATTGTCTTGGTGTAAACGTTCAAGAGACGACACGTTTCCCCTCCTACTCTCTGTTAAACGTCAACTGCTAGTACAGGAGTCGGTCTGTGGTGTCGAACACCACAGATGTTCAGGTTACCAAGGACTACCATATAAACGAGTCAATCGTCCAATTTAATTTAAGCAAATGCATTTGGACGTTATGCCGCTGTCTCATACCATGTGCCGTGCGAAGAATCTTGCAGTCAGTGTTGACTAACGAATGCTCAAATCCCCTGGCTGACTGGTAGAATTGTAACCCAGTCTCACCTGACAAGACGAAGGGCGGATGTCCTTGTGAATAGTATAAAATTGCTTATTTTTTATTTAGTGTTGAAAGAAGGGCGTGGACCACTTTCAAAAGCGGAACGTTTTTTCCTTTCTTTCTATTGAATCAGGCATCCTGGCCGGTCATGACAATCGCGTCAGTTGTCTCGGTGTATCTGAGGATGGGATGGCTGTTTGCACTGGATCATGGGACAGTTTCCTGCGGATTTGGAACTGACTCACCCTGTTTGGACTCCACCTGCTTCGGAGAGTACTTCTTCATCCTCCGATTTATCATGCACTCACTCATATTCGCACGCGTGTACACATGCAGACAAGACCCCCAGAGAGACAGACAGCCAACCAACCTACCCGCCATCTGTCCCACACGTTTCTCCCCACTGTGTCCTGTCGTGAAACTTGTGATCAACCTTTGACCCTCAGTAATGTGATAGATGTGGTGTGTGGATGACCCAGGCACATTCAAGTGCATGGACACGACTGTGGCGGTAACATTCACTATTTTTTCTGTTTGTTTGGGTCTGCAAAGCAAATTTAGGAGACCGGAAGATGAAACAATCCGAACATCGCCGCCACGGACGAAAACAACTCACGCGCGATTTAGTCTTTATTTCGTCTTTTTCCTTCACGCATCCATTCACTTTTTACTTGTGATTGACCGGGTGATTTGCATTTCAAGTTGTGTTCAACTCTAACTTCGTCTCTGATGTCTATCTGCATTATTTGCTTAAGTTACTTTTCATCTGCTCGTTCGCTTATTGACCCCTGCTAGCCCAATTAGAATATGGGGTAATCTACTAACACCTGTTTTTTGTGTGGTTCGTTTCGCCTGTTCACAGTGACCGCACGGTTGCCTTAACACAAGCACCAACATGTTATGACACCCGTTGGCAAGTGGCGAGTGTTTTTTTTTTCTCGAAAAATACGTGCCTATCTATATAGAGCGTATGTGTGCAAACTGAAGTCGGTGATTTTTGGCTCACGTGTCTCTCTACGGTCATTTTATTCATTTCCTTCGAGTTCAACCAGCAGTCAGTGGTTATCATTAACCGCTTACTGTACACTGTTTTATCCTGCCTCCGATTCCTGTCCGGTCAATGTTACTTTCTATGTAAGTACGGAAAATGCCCTTTTCATTCCTGCCGCGCGAAAATACACTTGGTGTGTTCCCTTGTAGCTGCGATGATTGATTTTGTCTATATTTCCCTCCCAGGTCGCTGAATATTACTGACTTCTTTATATAGAGCTGTGTGTTCCGTATCCGCGGTCCCCACCACCTGGTCGCCTAGAGGGACACTGTAGTACTGAATTGCTAATCTGATCCTTTTCCAATTTTGCCCGTGACTGCTGGAGTTTGGGTCAAAACACCAGACATATTCTTCATCACACTGTGTTGTGTTCGTTTACCTACCCATATTGCCCTTTGAAATGGCATCATCACCAAGCATTCTGCATTTCGGCACACTGGAAGACACTGATCTGGTCGATGCCTATCCTTCGAAGCCCTCAATTTTATTACCTTTACAACTAGCAACATGGCCATCACAACGCATACTGTGTGTGTGCATCCTACATGAGGAGTACGACGAGATGATGTTAGGACTATTCCACTTGATTTATCCTTTCAATTTGGAGTTACTTTCCACGGAAAATGCATTCATGCGCTAACCATTTAAGATTGTGTTCATGTGTGCGCTTTAGGGCCTCATCCCTATCTCTCTGTCTGTGTGGATCTAGTCAGCATATTATTGGTAATACTATATACATACAACGACACTACTGGTTGCATTCTTTCTACTCTTAAGACACTTATGCGCGCTCGCTTGATCTCTTGTAATGTAATTCAGTCTCTGTTTTCAACTATCATGCTCCATTTTCTTAATTGCACCTTCGTCATTAGTAATACAAATACTTGTTGCTACGAGACTTCTCTAGACTCATTAAACTGAAGTTTTTCGGTTACTTCTGATGGACTAGCTGCGCAAAGAAGTTTACGTAGATTGTAGCATTGGGGCGATAGTCCCGTTCTTCAGCTAGCGGAGTTGGGGCTAAGGGTCAGTTGTAGTAGCTGCAGCAAAATGGACAGCTGTGAAAACTAATGATTAGGAGAAAGCCGAGGTGACGTACGACCATTGTGGCTTGACCTGATAATCAGTCAGCAGTAAATACAGAAGGGAATGTCATGAGAAATAGCTGTACATAACAACAGACGTTAAACTGAGGGAGTTCACACTGAATGCAGCGTTAGTTATCAAGCCTTGTTAATCTGCAGCAGAACAGTTGGGTAAACGGACTTGTGAGGAGCAATGTCGAGAATCATTTACGAACAAGACATGGGCGAGTTAGACGACGTAGAATAAGGAGAGCAAGTTAATTTTCGCTTGGTAGGCGGTGCTTTATGGGTTCCTCACGACAGTGGGGACAACATCTGGAACAAATTAGGGACAATTTACCGGCCACGTTAGGGTGAAGTTAGCATAACCAACGTTTGAATACGCATTTTGGACAATATTTGAACCATGCTCGACTGAGGATACTCTCGGCAATGTTTACTTGACCGATTGATTGCGTGACGAACGAAACAGGTGTCCAAACTGCCCTGGGAGCGGCGTTATCGTAATTCACGCAAAGCAATCATCGAGTTATGGCCGCAAGACTGCATTTTGCTAAAGAGATTTAAGGAAAGCTATACTACTCACATGAATACGAGTGGTGCGTTATTTGTACTTTTCATCGGAATTAAACTTCACATTCCAGAGTTGCAGTTCCGTGTCTGGTGCTGGGTTCCGTCATCTGAATCCGTCGGACTTAAAGTCCAATACAGTAACCCACCAGGATGGCTGCTACAGTGTTTGGGGTATTCTACCTCTTCAGGGTGTGACATATAACTTAAAAGCAATGGGATGCATGCTCTGATGGATTCGTCGCTCCAGTTAGCGTGGCCTATTTTGGAGTGCTATAGATAAAGGCTTTGGAGCAGCACAGATAAGGAAGTAATTTATGTCGGTCGCTGTGCAATGGAACACCCTTTACTTCTCCCCATATGCTCTTGGTGCTAGAAAGAGAGAAATTCACGTGGACAAGGAATCTATCTACGAACCAAGCGTACTTGAACTGGTGATAGCGCACTCAGCTCTATTTAACAATCATTCATATTTGGACAAGTCATATGAGCTTACGTAAGAGTCAAATTTTCAGCCCGAGACAAAAATTCCACCGGACAAAGATTTTCGTCAGTCTCTTTGAGTGATCGCAGTGTTTGTACTTGTGTATGTCTGTAAAGCTTTGAACCCTTTTGGCAATGGTACTTGTCCCAGTACGGCATATTGGCGGTGAGGTAACTGACAGAATTTTCCACGAAATGATGCCTACGAATGTCATCTCGACGGTCGCTTATGGAGGACAACTGAACGGCATTATCGTCTTGGGTGCTAGATTCCAAAGTGGTTTCCGCTGCCTTGTTCACAGTGGATTATTCGTACCGTTTACTGTTTGGGAACAGGATTTAACCATCTTAACAGGGACAGCTACTGAACTGTCTATTGCTGTTTCACTTTCGCCGTTTCATTGGGAACGCCTCTCTCAAGATAATGCAGTGACTGGGACTGCTTCAACATAGATTTCATCACAGGTCACCTGGTATTTGTTCACTCGGATGATTTCCTCTGATGACGCTGAGGCACCTGGGTTAAATGAGGGGAGAGGAAACATATCATTGGTAGTTTGGGATTGCCACGTATGCCTCTCCAATGGGTTTGGAATTTTTCCCCGTTTGAAAGGTTCATTTCTCCTGAACACGCCTATCAAAGCGAAACAGTGGTTGTAAGTGCTATCAGCCCTACCGAGATTTGCACTGTGGTCATCTCGTTTGTAATGCAGACGCATTTTCTAGTTGAGTAGCCAACGGTGAGAAGGTGAAAACTCCTGTGTTTGCACAGTGTATTTACTGGGGCTTTGTTGAGTGATGGCAAGTGTGACTCTCCTGTGGTTCGTGTGTAACCATACTTCGGGGTGTTACGCTATACGAGGCTTATCGTCATCATTGTTACTCATCGGATGAACATGAAAATCGGTCACGTGATGCCTTGGTTACCAGCTCAATTTCGTGGCGACGGATCCACGGACATATTGGTTGGCTTGTGCACGTCGTGAATTTCATTTCAGATGTGATTCTTCTCCAAAAAATATTCCAAACTAGACAATCCGATGACTGGTGTATGTTTAGATTGTTTTTATCAACGTTTATCCTTCCTGGAGGAGGACCTAATAATAATGAATTCATTGACTTTAAATTCAAACCGTTGTTTCCTGGTGATGGCACTTGTTAACCCAAGAAAAAACACTCGACGTTGGTGATGCACTGCTTAGTGCGCACATATATGGGGATTTTCATATCACCACTCGGTACTTCTGACGAGTCACACCCAATGGCCAGCAGCACCCATTCGGCTGCATTCTGCGCTGTCCTGTCATAAGTGTTTAATAATTATAATTTCACGCTACTAATTCCTAATTAGTAGCTCAACAACGTAGCGTGTTTGTAGGCAACAAGGCATATCTTGGTTTTGCCGGAGTCAGGAGTGCATGTGGGCTTTAAAAGTCTGTTTCATAGACCAATAAATAGTTGGCATTTATCAGGTTGTTACTTTTATCTCATGAACTTTTTGTTGGAGCTTATGCAATGGCCGCACAAACCAGTGATCCGGTGTTGGGGGACGCTCTGCTGACAGCTTCGTATTCCAGTAGAGTTTCATGGAATGGTGATTTCCAACGGGAAGGCAATAGTTGCACTGCGTCTATCTTAGTCGTTTTGCTTACGGGATAAAACCTTATTTGGAGATGTAGGTGTTACCGATGATCTGAAATTGGAGCCTGCCAAAGCTTTGCATCTCTCCTCTGGTGACCCTACATTTAGCTACTTCCTAACTACCAACACTTCTGTTCACACTTCACCACTCTGTTTTACTTGCTGCACTATACGACCGAACTGTTCCCACTCATGCAACTGTTACCGCTTGAGTAATAAAGTTCAAGCTTGTGCCAAAGTGAAACCTGCGGCGTCCCGTTCGTAAATAATCAATTAAAAAAGCGTCAGATTTGGAGACACGAATGTTGAAGCAGGCAGACTGCTACGCGAATTAAAGTCTGAGCATATTATTTTACGGAGGAATTTCTTGAGTTGAACACTACAGTGAAGACACGTACGGCGTATAGCTAACAGAACGATCAACCCCATATTTTTGGTGGAGGGTATAATAAGTCGATGGGACTTGTATATGACGGTGCTAACTATAAGACAAACTCAGTCTGTTAAGGAGAAAAAGCGCGGTGGAATGCATTCAGGTCGCATGACACTTTGTCTAAACAAATCTTGAAATTCAAGTATTTTAAGCTTTCTACCGATCAAATCCTGCGAATGAATATTAGAGTTAGGAAAAACAGTTGTTTGACAGTTAGTTGAATTACTTGTTGCTCAAGTGCGCTGAGTAATGGTTGATCTGCCCATCAACAATCAACAGCGCTTGACTTTTCTTGAGTGATCAAGTTTCCTAACAGATTACACGGCATGAGTTAGATGCAGAAATCATGGTTTCCTATTCACCTTCCACGCAATGGTGAATTTCAACCACGAACCGAACGTGGTCTGCAGAGAGTAGGAGCGGGCGGCCTACTTGTTACATTCATCAGATCAGTTGTAGCGAAGATGAAAAGCGTGCTAATCCATGAACGTGAAAAAACCGGTTATGCCAGACTGATGACCGAACACCGAAGCCACACCTGATCGCCATAATATACTGTACTTTCGAATACGTGTTCTGAACTTCTTCTCACCCTTCAACTTATCCATGAGTACTCTTTCACATGCTATAGCTCAGACAGTTTACCTGTACTAGGGTTATATCCCAACCGATTGAATGGCGTACTTAGATTTTGTGGTTCGCTACTACACTTTTTTAACAGTGGGAGTGGTTCTGAGGTGGAAGCACCTCACTCTTATATGCCGGCTGTTTTAACGGATATCACCAGTACGGGTTGTTGGTCTGTTGGCCGAGCGCACTGACGGTGTCACCTCAGTTGGTGATGAAACGTTCGCAGTTCGACTGCCAAGCTCGGCAAACATACCAACAGCGCACCCGAGCTACTTATATCCAACAACATTGTCAATCCCCAGTACTCAATGATCCCTGAGGCTGGTACGCCTTTATAGGCACTAATGACAAAATTGCAGTTTACCTTTTATTCTCGGGCGGATTTCGCACCCGTGGTCAATTTTGTTAGGATATTCTCTTACGTAATATGAACCACGCAAAATTCCACTGCGAAATATCCAGAATATTTTGTTTTCTTAATATAAGTAATGTACGGTAGTTGCTCGAAATCTGCAGGAACCCACGATCGGAAATATGTCAAAAAGGGACGAGGGACTTCAACGACCTCAGAAACTTCACCATGCACTTGAGCTCAATGGTAAACAATCATTCAAAATACTCTCTAAGTCAAAGATTGATTTTCTCAGATTCAAGCGGACTACGCCTTCCTGAAGAGTCTCAAACAGGGAGGAACGGATCGTCGTTATATGTTGATTTTGAGCAATTGTCCTGTAGTACTAACATCAAACCGTAAAAGCTCATTAGAGGACGATCGACAGTACCCTATTGCTACTGATTTCGGTGTGGTTTTCTATGGTTTCTATGCCAAGCGTGAAATGCAATCCTATTCATTACGCGCAGTCTTCGGGAACGTTTTCGGCACTCACTAACAACTTCAGGGATTGTCGATTCAAGTGGAACTTTCTGGGAAGAAAACTCAGACCCAATGCAACCCCAACCTAGAGTGCTCTCCACCCAAATTTATTCACATAAAAGCATACTAAAAGTGATAAGCAGGTATTGTATTCATCCATAGCGAATGAATTAGCGCCACATGCCCATCATAAGGGGTTGCGATGTGCATTGTTCAAACTCTGGTTGCCGAAGTCTGTTCGCCATACAGCGTTTAAGGTACTGTTGGCACTGGATACAATCTCCGCAAGATGCCAGCGGATCACCCGCATATCCTGAGGAAAGAATCAGAATGAAAGTGTACAAGTCCCACGCGGGATTTTCTGTTAAAATTTCTGTCAGCAGAACCGGAATGGGAAATGTTCTTAACAAGAACAGTTGCTGGCTGTTCAAAGCTGACCAACCAGAGTACTCGAAAGCCAGTCAGTTTAGAGTTATTATGTACTGTTTAGAAACCATACAAGCACAGGTTGAGGAGAAGAACTTAACTACTCAACTCCGCACTGACGATGTCACCTCGATTGGTGCTGAAACCTTTGCAGTCCAAAGGCCAAGCTCGGCTGGGCAAAAAAACAACTACGCTTTCAGTACCTCTGGAATCTGAGTACACGAATTATCCCTAAACTGTTGGTCATGATAGGCGTTTTAGACCTAAAAATTACAGCTGCTAATGTCAGATGAATGTCAGATGACCTCTCAGCATCAGTCTTTAGGTCTATAGAAACTGGATAACCGATTGACGGTTTCGTCTTCCAATTCCACAGACCTAGCCCTACTCAATCAAACTGATTTTTCAATCAGACATGTCGACATATAGTACGCACTTCTGGACATTGGTTTCACCTGCATTTAACCAAGCGTTTTCCATTTCAAACAACAACGTCATTACTGAAACTTTCCAGTTTGCAGAAAGCATCAGCAGCTTATTGTCATACCGTGGATTTTCAACATATGAGAAATGAATGCAAAACTCATTTACAGAGTTCTACCGCATAATGTTTCCTCAAGTTTGGATAGTGGGGCTCACGCACGCACGCACGCACGCATATATATATATATATATATATATATATATATTCACGAGGCATATGAGTTCTTCGAGGTTTATTCAAACTTTATAGAGTCTGAGTACTCAGATAAACAGAAATGAGAAACAACTTTCGGTGGTGTCATTAGAAATACTTTCATTATAAAAACGGATAGGGGCGCCATCCAAATGGAGAAATATGCTTTAGGTGTAACCATTTGCAAGATTTCTGGTTACACATCTAAGTAGATTTACCATAGGTATTGAGGATACATAAAAATGGCAATTACGCAACTTACGACAGCTTGATATTATCAATCCGTTGGAGACGCATTGTGAAGTATGCCTCAGCATGTCTCCAAAACATTGAACTTCTGTATTCCACGCCATTGCTGTCGAGGCCACGAAAGCCAAGGCCAGTGCTCGCAGTCCTGCACTGTTCATTTCGATTGACAGACTTTGTGGCAACCACCGCAGCTACTTTGCCTACCTAACATTTATGAATTTGGCTGCTGTCTCTCATTGGATAAGGCTGAAACAACAAATTTGATTACATCCGGTCCACAGATGAATTTTGGCTTGCTTGCACATCGTCACTAGATTTCATCCACTGTGTATATCGTTAAGTAACGTCCGAACAACCTGTGGTGGTTATGTGGAGCATTTTAAATTGTTTGGTAAGGTGGAGAAACTGGGGAAGACAAACAAAACTCATTCATAAAGGAAACTACTCACAGGGTTGCTGAAAACTCTTCGACAACCCACGACCGGTTTCGCCCTTCTTGGGGCTCATCAGGTAGGCGCATTCGCCGAGTTTCTGTCAACCTTGTGTTCTACTTGAACTCATTCAGTTTTGCAGCTGTCTGTGGGAATGCCGGTTTCTGAAAGTTTGGTAGAAACCTACTTCCTCCCTGTACCTCCCTGTGTACCTGCAAACTTGGCATACCACTCTATGTTGCGCTCTCCAAGGCTTTTTTCAAAAAATCACTGTGACTTTTGCAATTGAGTAATTTAGGAGTAATTTAGGATGACCAATTCTAAAGTTCTTCAGTGGATTGTTCTACTTAGAAGTTGACTGGATGGCATCCTATTATTGCCTAAGTTTACTTCCGAAAAAAGACAAGTGCGAACAGCCCTGGTATCTAAGTCAGGGGTTCGCATCGAGAGAGTTTGACACCTAGAATGTGCAAGATGGAAAGCAGGCTTCAGTGACTACATCGAAACTTGCCCCGACTCGGCACTCATTGGGATGGACATGTGTCTTTAAGTAGAGGGTCATTATTACACTTTACTTTAGAACTAAGTTCGAATTAAGAGTAAAAAGGAGATTTCGGTTCGAAAGAACCTCTTTAGAGAGAGAATTGTTCACGGATGCAAGTTGTTCCTAGCATGGAGGATTTTCCTAATGTTCGATGACCTAAAACCCCCATAACATTGAAAAAAATGGTTTTCAAAGTCTTAAACGATGGAACTGTTGCAGCGAGCTATATGGGATGTCCTATCCTGCCCTTTGGGATAAGATGCGTCAACTTAATCTATTTGGTCACTATCATCAATGTGGACATTGAAGGTCACTCTCAAAACACTTAGATATCCATGACGTAAAGAGTAAAGAGATAAAGGTAAAGTCGTAAAAATAAAAAGGTGGAAAACGTTTTGCCCATTCAAGTTAGCAAAGTCAATGAATGACCGCAAGCAAATTTAGGAGGATTGGCTTCACATCGCTTGTTCTTGCATTTGTGATAGATTCCACACAGGAAGGCCCACGGACGAGAATAAATGGAATGATTCGGCTTCTTGGCAAGCTATATGCCTGAAGGCAATATCAGTAGGATAAGATCGACCAACCATAAAATCGACCAAGGCATAAGCGATCAGTGTGGTGGTTTATAAATTATTCACTTTAGCGAGTTGGCTGATAAAGAAACGATGAAACGAAGTAGTGGACAACAATCGATGTGTCATTGGCTGTTCCAGAGGTGTTCGTGATTAGGACCAATTCTGCGTTACACAGAATTTATCACACAGGAGTTGTGAAATCTAGAGCGGATTCAGTGTTTTAATAAAGGAAACTGTTCAAAGGTCACTGGGACAACAATCGATGTGTCATTGGCTGTTCCAGAGGTGTTCGTGATTAGGACCAATTCTGCGTTACACAGAATTTATCACACAGGAGTTGTGAAATCTAGAGCGGATTCAGTGTTTTAATAAAGGAAACTGTTCACAAGGTCACTGAAAACTCTTCGACAGCCCACGACCGGTTTCGTCCTTCTTGGGGCTCGTCAGGTAGGCTCAATCCCCGGGCTTTCGTCAACCTTATGTTTAGTTGAAGAACATCATAAACGAGAGCTTCACTTAAGTCTCCGTGAAAAACTAATTGATATGCAAATGAGTGTATTTGTCGAAATCGGTCCAATTTGGCTTCAAGCAGAACATGAGGCTGACGGAAACTCGGGGACTGCGCCTACCTGATGAGCCCCAAGAAGGGCGAAAGCGGGCATGGGCTGTCGAAGAGGTTTCAGCAACCTTGTGAGTAGTTCCACTCGTAAAAATATACTGCGATCTCTCGGATATCGTACCAACTAAAACTTGAGGCAGCCTATGTGTAGCCCATTCAGTTGAATAACATCATAAACGAGAGATTAACTTGACTCTCCCGTGAAAACCAAATCGATTTGCAAATGAGTGTATTTGTCAGTTTCAGTGTTATTTAGAACTTGGTTTATCGTTTTGACTCTCCCGAATTCGTTAGTGTAAATATCCACCCAGTCAGGCCAGTTCAAAAATTTGTCAGTTTACTAAGCAAGTCATCATTTTGCCCAATCTGAGTTACGTTTATGCACACTGTCGGGATGTTACGTTGTTTCTTTTTGGAAAATCGTGGCTGCCACTTTTAGGCAGAAGTAGGAGGTCCAAGTTGTAGACCCATTTGACTTGAACCTTTGGCCAATGAGCGGTTTTTAACTAATAATTCTGAATGAAAACTTCGGTTAAAACGGGCTTATTGCCCACGTAATTGGGTAATGACTATGAGATTCTCTCAATGAGTGTGTTCGTGTTCGACTGTAGCGCGTTTGATGTGGTCGCCGGGGATGCAGTTATAGCCAACCACCACAATAGCATGATCAAATATGTATGTCAAAGAAGAAATTTACTTTTGGCCTGCCCTCCCTTGTCACTCACGGAAATGCCCAATCTGGTGTTTTTCGTTTTGTTTCACTCATTGGGGTTCGATTTTTCGTCAAGGCTTAAAGCGTAAGTATCTACGGAGAAGTGTCTGTTTGCTGAGTGCCCTGACTCTCAGATGAGGTTTATACTGGAAACGTTGATAACACGTTCGAAAAAAATTCCCCTAAATATTAATAGGTGAGGGTGGGTCAAATAAATCGGCCGCGCAGTTTCAGCATCCGAGAATTAGAGATAACTTGTTTATGCTTGAATTTATACACATTTTCTGAAGTAAAATGCATGAATTGCCCCCAATAAAATACGTTGCTGTGTGTAACGTGTAGCGATTCAAAGTGCGGAAAAGGCCGAACTCGGTCGCCAGTCTCGCTGGTGAGAAATGCCATCACCACTATTCCTCAAAACAGATATACAACACTCGGGCGCACTCTTGATGGAGTTATCTTCATTTCTAGGCAGGTGGACTGCAAATTTGAAAGTTGGACACCATTTCTCGAAAGCCCGTTATGTCACAAGTTCACGTATTCAGGTTTGTCACTGCATAAACAGACCGATAGGAAGGCGTCGAGCGTGTGAAAACATTGGAAAGCCCTTTGTTTGCCCAACCTGACAGAACTAAGTTTTTGACCTGTATAGTCTAGGGCTCAACACCTTAGAGAATTAGACCACTTTTTCACCTTTGTTGGAATTTCGCCGGTTTCTAGCCGACACAAAATTTTGTCCAATTTTCACCCTTCAACTCCAGCTTACCAATAAACAAGCTGATATGTTGTTTTCTCTTCCGCTGCGTAACCAAAATCGAGATTGCCGTGATAACTACTTCTTGCTAGGCTTCAGTGGCACCACAATTCAGGACTTTTCAATGGCCCGTCAAGCGGTTTTACTTATTCTCCAGACACACGATGTTTTTCCAAAACCTCGGTAACAATCATTGGTTTATTTCAGCCTTGGAGCGATATTTACCCATCTAGTCTTTTTCCTGAATTTATCACTGCGTGTCCTTTCCCATGGATTACTGCGTCATTTTCACCGAATCTAAAAATATTCACAGTATCCTGGCCATATTGCACAAGAATTTTCGTAAGCACAGCTAACAGGTTCAGTTAATTCGTCAGTCTTTGCGTAATCTAATTGGGGGACTTTTCTCAAATGAATAACACTTGCCTCATCCAGTCCACATGTATTTACGAACTTTCAACATCTAGATCTACGTATGGAACGGCTACGTTCCAGTATCCGAATAACTATAGCTCATTATAACCAAGCTGTTTCTGCCCTGATGGAAATCATTTGTTCGTTTTTTAACCCGCTAGAAAGCGGTTCCTTTCTCAGGTAGACAAAACCTCACTTTTGTTCTACACCTCATCCTTTTTTAACTGGTCTGAGAGAAGTTATGCATGTTATCCCAAATTTTCCGGGTTCCGTAAAGATCAGATTTCAAACTGCCTTTCGCTTTCCTTATTGAAAGCAGAATTTTCAAAGCAAAACCTTTAAATCAGTTTAGTGTTTTATTCCTCATGTGTTATACGGGCGTCCTCGAAATTCAACTGCAGGATAGACCGTTTCCATATTGTTTAGCTGAGCTTTAATTTTCCCAAACTTTGTTTTTTCTGGGTGGTTGAAAACGTACCCACTTACAAGCGGTTAAAGTGGCCATCGATCTTTTTATCTAAAGCATTTAAACTGAACGGTTGCAGCGTAATCATTTAAAAAGGGTACAGGCAAGTACATAGTGCTAAAAAGTTGTCAAAATGGAGAAAACACAGTTTGAATTTGACAAAAAGACAAAGATATTGATTGACATGAAATGGTACAACTGTCATGTTGCTGTATGGGCAATCAGTAATCAGAAATCCGTACACTATGGACGTGAAGAAGATGACGGAAAAATACCTCAGGCATAGTGGGTGTAGCTTGATTAACGCCACATGCCCAGCATAATAGGTAGAGATTCACATTTGGCGAACTTCTTTTTTCTGAGTTCCTTTTGGACACAGGGTAGCGCACGCTTTTCACAAGGGGCACATGTGAAACAATCTTCCAGTACGTCGCCTGTACGATTTTCTGGCAAGGGTTGGAAGAAGAGATGTTACTGGTAGATTAGTTTATGAAGAGGCGGAAACCAGAAAATAAAAGATGGAAATACATTTTTACGGAGAAACCTTATTGTACTCATGCTTCTTAGACTGCCTTTTGTTCCACTAAAGTACTGTTCATATTCAGCACCAACACGATGTGCGAATAGCGAATAAACTCAAAGCAAATGTGTGGCTTGTAACCATATGAACTCCATTTTAGAAAAATCCTCTCCTACAAAACATCTATTTGGTTGCATTTTTTCTGCCGCGGAGTGTCATTTCGAAAAATGTGTGAGCCAAAACTAATCTGTGTAACTGATCAATATTGCAGGGCTATTTTGATCGCACATGAAGGGACTTATAATTTTTCGCTGTCTACTCTCGACTCTACTTAATTACGCAGTTTCGATGCTCCTGTTTCCGGTCAAGTACAACACTTTTAGACCACTTGGCCGTGTCATCCATGTGGAATCCAACCACTGGCGAGAACTGCGTCGTCAAACATGCCGGTAAGCTTACCTCGGTTTGAAGCATCAAGTTTCGTCTCAACAGCACTTTACAACGCCCCGATAAATTACTAAAAGTGTAACAGCAATACCATCATCAAACAATATTGTGCCAGCTGCTGAATGATGCTTATGAAACTAAACAGTTGAATCTAAGGAAGATGAGTGCTTTTTCCCACAGGGTTTGCAGCGCTATCGTTGAAAGAGAAGTAGATACAAAAGTCTACTAATGAGAGCTTGGATCAATGTCTTATCCTTCTGTTCAATTATATGTTCTCTAGACGTTCTCCAAAATGCTGTTTCGAACTTTAGCGGTTTGAAACGAAATTTTGAGCATGTGACGTGCTGAACATCACGAGAAGGAAAGTCGGCCTTTCACAGAAATATAAGCACCCTGGTATGTGTCAGCTTAGTAGACAATAGTACAATACTGCTGTTATTGCACAAATAAGGGAAATGTTACTGTAAACATTAAGCTGAAGCTTGCATCTGATTTGGTATGATCTATTCAGACCGACTGAACCCATCAGTTTATATTCAGGATCCAACCGGATAAGCAGTTCAGCTTTCGGAGCATAGATCGGCAGAGAGTTCGCTAGTTTGCGCTTCAAACACAACCTTGACACAAACGGATCAGTTTCCGTTTATTCTAAAACGGTTTCTTATTGGTCAAACTAGATGCAGCTTTTTGGTTTACAGAATAACTCTCAAGCTGCTGTGTTGTCAAAGTGTTTGAAAATTTTTTATGAATCTTTCAGTGGCTTAGACGTGAAACAACCCAACATGTTGTGATAGGCGCATCACTACCAATACTTTCATGGATATACTGCACTGGGGTTAAATGTTCTTCACTTCGGATTGATTTTCACTTTCTCTCAATAAATTATATTCACGCTGCTGTCAACTGAACAGTGCAACTAGTTCATTAACACCACAAATCCGATTTGAATAGATGTAAAGCTGGAACTCCTTGTATGCTTACCTAAGCAAACAAAAGGGCGGATACCTTGGAAGGGACTCAAACCCATCAGATGAATACAATCTCCTAAGCTGATTAAAAACAATGCTATTTGGGTATCTTGATCAACGCCCGACCGACTGCGGAATTCCCACGATGAGCTCACTACAGGCACCAACAGTCATCGACCATTGGTCCGCTGGTCAAAGGTTTGATGGGTCAATTTATGAGGGGAGCCCATCTGGTACGACACCCGCCCAGCACTCATAAAATTGTGGGTTCGAGTCCTCTCCAGGGGCTTTGTACTGAGCTTGAAAAGAACATTTGGTTTGAGTGAGATTAGTTTTTATCGCTTTTTCAGTTTCTGTAATAAAATGCAAACCAACCTGTCTGACTTTGCCCATCGGCGTTTTTCGGCATTTACACACTATTACACTCAGATTTAGACTAGACAAGATAATCCTCACTTCCAAAAATCTCTTACTAAGTTGTTGCGGCCGTGAGTGGTAGCAGGTTTCATTTAAATAATATCCTGTTAGTTAGCATCACATAGGCGGTACGTCCGTGATGAGTTTCGTGTGTCACAGTGTGCGAAAACAATGGGCGAAAACAAAGTGGAAGTTTGATTTTGTATGAGGTGCTTCACGATATGCTGTAGCAGTTGAACCATTAGAATTACTTGAATAAAATCTCAAATGCGGAGTTTCAACATTCAAAAGAAAATTGTGAGCTGTATGGGGAGCGTTTACCGTTAAATTATATAAGTTACCTGAAAGTGCCACTGACGCCCATCATCAATTAAGTATGTGATGCTGAGTTTCAATCATCAAACAGAAGTTTAAATATTAGGTAATACTTTCTGGTGCACTCTGCCGTGTTTCTCATCGGTTTCCTTTAATAATGCGGACGCGATATTTCGATAGCAGTGTTTTACTTATTTCCACACGGATACAAGCGTTCAGAATACAATCACAGCAGTGAGTTTGAAAATCTAAAAGTAACGGTCGAGCAGTATCTTTGATACTGCGGCAGCTGCTGGTGCCATTCAACGTGCTTGCGTATTTGTAGTTCGTGCTTTTTGGCAAAGTGGTCTGTGTAAAATCATTGAAACGAGGTAGGAAAAGTTCAGGAGCAATCAAGTAATGAGCCAAACAACTTAAATGCATCAGTTAGTGTTGTGAACTCATGCATTGTCAAACATACTAGGAGAAATTTTGCTTAACAGGAGTAAGATTTTGGGCAGCTCAGTGGGTGTTATGTCTAAGGTGAAGTCATCGAGCTGTTTTCTTGTCGAGTAAACCGTTGTCTTTTTCACTGTCAGCTGAAGTTACGAGAGACAGGTAAGGGGGTTTGAATCTGTGACCACAACCTTGTATCTTTTCGAAGAGTCCCTGATGACCCTTGTTCCGCAGTTTTTCATCTGTTAGCAGCGCGAATCTATAATGATCGGTAAAGTTGTCTCGTAAACTCGTTTTTTTCTGGGATAGACAGAGAATTCGCGTAACTTATTTCGGGCTGCCTTGGTAAGTAAGGTGGACCTGAGGCCATCATCGCGGGTCAAAGTATAGACCTGAAGATCAAACTGCATTTGAATGTACTTCGGGAAGGTAACGGAGATATGAATTTGGAGAAGACCACCCTTCAAAGGAGAATATTTCTGGAGAGCGATGTATATTTGACGATTTCAATCACAGTCCCTCCGCATCCACTGATGCTCATGAAGCGTCACTTGCCCAGATTGGTGGTAACAAATTGACTGTACGATTTTCACTCATTCTGAAGCCATTCAGACATTTATACAAACATCCTTACTTGTGGAACCAGCTGATAGGTCTGCAGTTCGTCTACTGTGCACCATGTAAGCCGGCATGGTTGTCTGTCAGTCGTAACATCAGTGTAGTCCAACTGTGGTTTGCCCTCTTGAGCATGGTCACAGTTTTTATAACCTGGATATCTCATTCGTGGCCTATTGTACTCGTATGATATACTTCAGCGGATCGGATGCAGAATACAGCCAATTTTATCAAATGGCAAATCAATCGCCTGAAGCTGTGTACACATAGAATAATAGAATGAGCGTAAGTACACCGCTAAATTGCCCTCAGGAACCGAGCACGAAAAAACGTGTGCGTAGCTAATAATTGCTAGTGTTTTAAGGAATGTTCTACTTCAAATCATGATTGAACTGAGAAATCGAATCTGGGCGTTCCGCGTATACAGACTCTTTTGAGTGAGAAGTAATGCTACGCAAAATTCATTAAACAATTAAATGGTTGCAACTCATATTATGATAAAATTCCCTAAATTCTTGTAATTCTCGCCTACTAAACATGAAAAAATATTCACAAATATTCTTTATGCGGTCCTACGTTACAGTTTCACTTGGTTTCAAAGTAATAATTTGGTCCTCCAGGTGAACTGCATTTTCCCCGATACATCTTTCGCGTGGATTTTAAGTCAACCAAATATACTTTCTTCTTTATGCTAAGTCGAAAAATCTCGTTCTTGTTGTTTTCGTAGAAAAAGAAAGCCTAATCTGCTACATTGAAAATAAGTAAAATTGTTGGCGTGTGGCTGTTCCATAGAATGGTTTGCATTAGAGACCTTTCACATCCCGGTAAAAATATGAAGGTAGTTTGCATTCGTAACTAATCCAAAAAAGCGGACAGGACAAAACAATAATCACTTGAAGACCTCTAGAATGTACAGTTGACAAACTAAGAAAACACTGATAACCAAAAAAAACGTGTCCGAAAAGTTTTAAGCGTCTGTGGCGCTACTACTAAATGGGAAGGTCAGACGGGCGGGCCAATCGGGTGACACAACCAAGGAAGGCGTCCTTGCCCCGGCGTCGTGTTTACCAATAGCATCTCTCAAGCGCGAGCACTTTTACCTCTTCAGACGTAAAAATTCAGATGCGTCGAGTATGCGCTAGTAGAGAAGTGATAAAACGGTCGTCTCGTAAATCATATGTGCGGTACGGCCAGAGGTGACCTCGAGTCCACTGCTCACCTTAGGTGCGAACTCGACAGAATGACTGCGCCTGAACAGAAGGACAAGTGTTTGAATGAGAGTGTTGTGAGCATGCATTCTACAGACCCAAGAATGACCCACAACTAAACGGAAAACGTTTCTCATCTGAACTACCTCAAACCTTTGCACACTAGATAAGAAAACTTGGAAAGTACTTACAAAACATGAAAATACTATCATTAACGATGGCTGTCTGTGGTGGTTTGTGTTTTGGGGAAAAATTTTTTACTGGGAGGACTAGTTTCTTACTGGATGTCAGATATATTCCTTTGATGAAAATTTCGGGAAAATGTGCGCTTTTTGGGCTGATTGTTTTGGACTTCCTCTACGTGTCACTACTGTCTTTTCATCCTAAGGGTTTTGGTTTGTTAATATTCTTTAATGGTGTCTTATAGATAACGGCACGGTTCACACACATACCACAGTCTGTATTCAAAAGTCCTTCCACGGCACACTGCGTAACATGCTGAACCATTTTCGTGAAACATTCTACATCCGAATGATCGGCGTTCGCTATACAGGACAGTAATGCCGATACGAATGCGAATGATAGTGGAGGGTTCATCCTTAGAAATCCACCAGAACGACTCGTCAGTAGTCTACGCGTTCAGTATTTAAGCACTCCTTTCAGAATGATGATTAATATGTGATAACTTCGGGTCAGCTCGGATCTTGATAGATTGTTGTACTGGCGAACCAAATCTGTCACAATCACGTGTGAAGCGCCTTTTCTGGGTGCTAAATACACATTTTGATTGGCTGTCAACTAGAACGCCACAGTTCCGAATTACTACCCAGTTATACACAAGTATCTTTGGACGAACCAAAATATTGGAGATATGAGGACAAATTGTGGACACTTACATTCCACACTTACAATAAACATTGGATACCGAAGCACGTGATCGCGAAGAAATAAACGGACGGTGACCTCTGTGCATTTTTCATCTGTTCTTGCGGTCTAGCGGCAGAACCATACCAGTAAACTTGGTCGTTCCTGACACATACAACAAGTTCAAACCCGCAGCTGGCGTGGTGTCCACAGACTGCGACGTCGTCACAACGTATGTTGCTGTAAAGACGCATAAACGGAGATCAACTAATGAAGACGTAAACCAAAATGTCACAGATTACCAAAAGTGTGCGCTAGAGGGGGCAGTGTCCCTGAGGGGCCTAATTCCGGTACCCAGAACGAAAAAGTTCGGCCCACAGACATCCTTTTATGACATCGAATAACAACTGTAGCAGAGTGTCAATTTGTTTTCCGAAGCCGCATCCAAATCAAGTGGATTTTCGTGTTCTCTAATAAGCTGCACGTGTTTAAATGCTTGTAGCTTGTGAATGGAAAGTCATTATTTAGCAATATTAATTGACACACCTGTAGGAATGTGATTCTGTTGCAGATTGTTCCAAGGGGTGAGCAGTCTTCCGTTCAGACTGCATTTTGTCAAAAACTTAATGCTGAAAATTCGCGTATGTTGGTGCAAGTAGGTTATATATTAGGAGTTTAAATCTGGCCAGTTAAGTAATGTTGAAAAGTGATGTTTCCAGGCTGCTGGGATATCATTGGTCCTTCACCACTTGTTTTCCTTCTATCTGTCGAAGGCATTGGACTTTCAGTTTACAGATTTCTTTCCGTCCGGTGAAAGCTATTCACGCAGGATTTAAGCTATTTGCTTCGCCTTGTTCACCGACATCTATCTCTTTTCGCAGGTATTTCAGAAGGTTAGTCCTTTCCCTTCTGTGCCTGAGCCTGCGTTTGTCGGATCATTCTGCTTTGAAAAATGCAGATTATTTTCACTAATCAGGTTGGATATCGGCGAATCGTTCCCATCAAATCAATTTCTTCCCCATTTTTGCTTCAGTTTAGTTGAATTTACAGCAGCTGCTTGATATTGTGTTCGTAATTGGACTTGGTTTTCTGTTAGCCCCTGCTATGTAGCTTCGTAATAATTTGACGCAAAGTCCTGGCCTTTCATCTTTTTACATCCAACTTGAATGAGCTTGACGATGGTGTGAAGAGATTCGTTAATTTTTGGCAGAGCTTTGGTCTAGTCGGTGAATCCAATCAATGATAAAAAAAATCATAAAGCACTGTGCGTATCTCACGGAACTTAGAGATCTTCGAACCTTCAACCCTCCGGTCAGTGGTTTAACACTTGACAGTTGGGCCACGAGCGGCCGACCGTCAGAGTGATTAGCTCTCACGTAGACAAGACATTGGGTTACTCATTCTTCGGTTACGGAAACGGGGTCATGTGGTCACTTCCCGACTAAATCCTCCGGCTTTTTGAATCGATCGGCTTCACTGATATGACGAAGTATCTATTGTGCAAGCTTCTTTCCGGTCCACAACATGACGAGTGCGACGCGTACTTTGGCGTCCACTAAGAAGCGACTCAGGCCTTCAACTGACTTCAACTACAGGCATTTTCCTGCTCAATAAATTAAGTTATGTCACACTACGGCGTAGTCCAGGTGTCCATATTTACTTCTTATTTGCGTTCCTCGGAAGGCGGTGTCTTAGTCCCATACCAAACCAAGTGTTATTCATTGAGAGTTCAAATCCACAATCTTCAGTAATCTGCACTCGGGATTGTTCACTGATCCGACTACTAACGGACCGAATGTCTCCCACGATCTTACCATTCCGAATATTGAAATAGCTCAACAGAACGTGGGGATTACTTGGAGAGGCAGGTCTGACGAGGTAGGGTATTTGACCACAGAACTTATTCATTCTTCCGTCAGACTGTGGTGTTGTGAGGGCAATGGAGCTGAGAAATGTGGCAAACTCTGTCCACGAAAGCCGGATTCAAATGGCCATCACTTTTGAGTTGGTACAGTTCGCTAATTCAAGTGATTTGGGAATGCGATTCCGACACCCTGTACACATCAGTTTCCTTGTGTCGTTGCACTTAAGTAGAAGTCAGAGTCAGCCTTGACCTGACTGTCATTGCTTGCGCAGAGGTCTATCCTGTAGCAGTTGAGCTCTTTTGAAACAACAGCAGTTTGATTTTCAGACCTGTCTTACCCCTCTTTAATCAAGCGAGTCCTCACACTTCACCTTCCAGGGCGTGGCTTCCTTCTCTTCACAATTTGTATCACGTGCGGGTAGATAGAGTTGATTGACTGCTGTCCATGGGGACGGAACCTCATTTTGGGTTACTCATACCGGGTCTTTGACTCGACGCTCTGACCGTAAGAGTCCTGTCCTGTCCCGTCTGACCTCGCCCGAGGATGCAGGGAGTATGGCATAAAAGTCAGACTCCTAACGCCACTGTATGCACAAGGTACCTTTTGAACAACATGGAAATCATGATTTACAGTGACATTTCGCCAACATCGGCTGTCTGTATATGCGTGGTTCAGGATCGAATTTCTTTCACTTGTCTTTGATTGGGAGAAGGTAGCATCGCCTCTTCCACCTAGGCGAAACACGTTACTTTTCTGACATACTTCCCTAACGGAATATTTCGACTTTAACCCCAGACTACCTAATACGAGAATTTATTGCTCTTCCCAGATCGCTTATCACTGGTCACGTTGGAAACAGGATTGTTAACTTTACTCCTGAGCATTCTAGGAAAGCCATGGACGGTTTTCCATTCAAATTCTTGGCACCGATTTAGACGTGTTGGTGAAAGTCAACTTCCGAGCCTGGAGGCATCCGTCGCGGCGAAAAACCAGCCAAAGCACGGTGGAATAACAAGCCAGGCTGCCTTGTCTGCCATCAGGTTCTAGACACCCCAGGTCGATTTTTTGTCCCAGGGAAACGCCGAATAACGCACTGTCCAGGTTATGATTGATGACCTGGCAGCATTCAGTTAAATATAGGGTTATATATATATATATATATTTGTGGTATATCGACTTCTTGAACAAGCGGCAAATTTATATAGCCAGTGAGTTTGAGACTTCCAAATAAAATATCCAGTTGTATGTTTTATAATCATATTTGAACCAACAATAATTGCTCACTAAAATCTACATCATCAATTGCGTTGTTTTCCTGGACGGTACATATACCTCTTTCAAAATTGGCTTAGTTTCAAAATTTCTGCCTGACATATGAATAATTGTCAGAGTTCTACAATTTCCAACTTGCTGGTACTTTGGCAAATATGGCAAACGTATATCAGCCCGGCTGTCCTGTTATAAAAGCAAATTCTATTAAAGTAACTAAAGCCAGACAAATAAAACGTCATGTGGATCTTGATGATGAATAGCTGGAAGCACTAATACTGTTGCAAGTACAACAAAAATTCCGATGCTTTTAGATACCATCATTATACTATACGAAATGTTGCATTGATGAAGCAGTGTTTGATTATACGTGCTGTATTTGTATGATGTACGAGATGTTTTAGGGACATGTGTGCGGAAAGAGCGTTCGGTGACTCGGATCAAATCAGTTCAAACCTGAAGCGGCTTGGTGGGCCGTACAGCTGTTGATTTCGAATCAGTGTACTTAAAATTTCCTTTGAATTAAGCTTGCAGAAAAATATCAATCCCTGTAAAAATGTTCTTGTGCTGATAGCCCGTCTTATGCTTATTTATGTTTCAATGTTTCACAGCTTTATTTTATGAAGCTAAGTATGACGTAACGAGATTTCTGTGAAAGGCTGCAGAAGACTGTTTCATCTACGAAAGATTGTATGAGGACAAACTAGGCTGTTTCTTGTGGGTACTTTTATTGTGAGGATAGGATGGGCCTGATATGCAGGAAACGCTGACCAACGAGCGTCTCTCTCTTTCAGATAACATTACGTGAACTTTCTTGGTGCGCAGCAGAAACTCCTTGTGGCTACGTTAACACCATCAATTTTAGCAAAAGCGTAAGAAAAAAGAATAGCATACTCATTGTTATTCAATTTTTATTCGTATCAATTTCACAACCGCTTTCAGAGGAAAATTTAGTTGCAGGTTTTAGAAACCCATGTTATCAACTTACATGTGTACCGTTGCACTGCGAATTGGAAATGCACGTCGAGGGACCAGGTATCCAAGTGCAAACAGATGAGCCCCCACAGTCAGCTTTACCGTCAAACGGATATAAAGTTTGACATATTTTTTCTGTTCTTTCATGTAACGTTTTCCCCATAGGGTTTAACCAGTAATTGCAAGCCAAATGTGTGCTACTTGTTGAAAGCGTTGGGTTTTTGCGGAGTAAAGTGGTCACCACGAATCACAATGTGCCGAACGAACAGGGTGTTTGCATCGGATTTCCTGTTTCACCACCGACAAATTAAAATGTCACTTCGAAATGCGAACGGGTTTGTAGAGAGTGATATAGTTTCTGAGATTTTGATGTTCTACGCCGTTGATTTGGACGTGTGCTTGCCACATAAATCAAGGTCAATCCTTCTGAAGAAACATACTTTAAGACAGGTGTCTATTCGTTCATTTAGTTACTTCATCTTAGCATGTATAATCAGGTGACGTTTTGCTTGGCCGATATGCATCAAAATTTTGTTTTGTCTTCAGCGGTGCTCCATTGCGAACTCTGGGGCTGATTTAATAGCGTTGCTTTTGGCAATGGTGCAAGGAGTATCAACGACTTCG